CATTAATAATTCACTTTTTTTTTTTTTTTTTTAATCAAGGAAGCTGTCACGGTATATGGGAATGCAAGCTTCTTAACATAAGAAGTGCTCTCATAAAACTGGTTCTGTGAAATACAAACTGCGAGTCCCGCATGGGACAAAGTGTGAAGCTGAATTTTTATGGGAGATCATTGGAACAACCATGAACTTTCGGTGACATTGGCGATGTTGCTTCCCGCTGCAGTAAGCTATTTGCTCTTAGTTATTCATTGTATACTCGAATGTATGCTTTCTGGTCACAAAGGCAATTGGCAAGGATGTTTTGTTTTGCTTTTTTTTTCTTGGGAGGAGAAAGGAAGAACTCGTAATGTTCTTGATTTTAGATCAAGACGGATCATATTCGTCATAATGGCACACGCAGCTTGTGCTGGTTTTAATCAGCTTTGTCTTTTTTATTTTCCAGTGCACACTACAGAAGTCTTTAGATTTAACACATCAAACAACTACAAATGATGTGCACCTGCTAGAACCAAGCTTCATGGGAAGTTGAGGAAAAAAATGCCTCTGTAAATCTCACGGTAGAAAGAGTGCATGGACACAAAAGGTAGAACTGGGTCTTGGCCACCGTGGCATCAATGCCAAGTAGCCTCCACAAGTCTAAAAGATAAGGCTCCAGATCCTCAGCAGGGTAACGGGGATGTTGTCAATTCCAGAATGTCAGATGATTAACTCCCTGCCAGATGCTTTTGAGCTATTTAAAGGGCTGACTTCATCTGCTGGAGGAACGAAGAGAAGAAGATAGGCATTCAAGAGGTCAGGTCTTTGCTGTAGGCGTAAGCGGCATTCTCACTGCCTTCAGTGGCAAAACCAACTGGAGGAAGAGGTAGAGCGAGTCTTCATGGTACAACTCTGCTCTTCCTTACCCTACAAAGACGTTTTATCAGTAATCATAATCCCTTTTAATACGTGTTTTCTTTTGGCAAACAAGCTGCCGTGGTGCCGCCAGCCATCTCACTTACGATGGCATTTTGTCTGAAACGCAGTATAAAAATTGAAAGGAAAATAACTTGGTGGTGTAGTTCTGTGAGCCTGGGTAATTTCTGCCTTTTCCTAGCCGGTAATTTTCTGTCACACCTGGCTCTGACAGGGCAGTCGATGCCAGCTGCGCCTTGTGGTGTCCTTCTCCACCAGTGGAGCCCACCTCTTGCTTGAGGGGCAGTGGCATAGTGTGCAACGTGGAAAACTCCAGGGAAAAAAAATACACAACCGTAGCATTCTTTCCATGCTTTTGTGTTGTTTTGTTTTGGTTTTTAATCTACTAGGGGCGGCCCAGATGAAGTGAGCAAACTTTTGGCACGGCTGCTGGAGTGAGGCCGGAGGAAACAGCTTTGGGGGCCAGGACTGGAGCACGCTGCTGTGTGCGAGGGCAGGGGCAGCGCCGCGAGGATGTCACCTGGGCTCTGGGACGGTGCAGCACGGGGTCTCGGCTGGCTGAGCTACAGCTGGGCAGGGTCCCAAAATGAAAGCTCTGTGGTACAGCTGGCTTGGTAAAAAGCAGTGAGCTAGCAAGGAGACTCGGAAAGACCATTTCCAGAGGAGAGAGGTGGAGAAGGCAGGATTTTGCTGTTGCAGAACTAGTATTTGGTTACGGTAATAATGTGGTGAGCTGACATGCTGAGCTGCTCTGCTCAGTCCCCCAAAAGAGCAGCGTGCCCCAGCAGAGCATCCCAGCCCCTTTCCCACGCACAGGGCAGCGCCCTGGCAGAGCTCAGCGAGCCGGGTCACCAGGAGCTCCTTTAATAGTTCCTTCAAATGCCTCTCCGAGTCCAATGGTCGGGCTGTCATACCCCAAAACAGGCCACAGGTTAGATGCAAATGCGCTTAAACATTTGCCTTCCCTTTTCAGATCAAATATTTACACTTAATATCGTGCAACACCACCCCGGTCCTTTTCCTTTTTCTTTTTTTTAATGCAAGCAAGATCTCACGGATCAAAGCACGGTGCTGCGTGCTTCCCCGCACAGTGCCACCGCCCTGGCCGGCTGCCCGGAGGGATCGAGGCGCCGCCGCCAGCTCGAGTTGCAGCCTTGGTGGTGTTGCAGCTCCTACACCTGACGTGCGGCCCGGGGCCGGGGACCCCGCTCGCCGTGGGAACCGCTTGGCCCAGCCGCCGGCCCCGCTGCACAGAGGCACCGACAGCGGAGGAAATTAAATTCCGAGGCGGAATCGGGTAAAAGCCCGGCTGAATCCGTGTTGTTTTCCTATGGCAACTGAAACAACATCATTATTTAAAGGATAAATTTTTATTGCTAATGAATTTTATTTTTTTTTAAGACAGTAAGTTTTTACATTTTGTTTATACCAGGGCCCCTCTTAAAGACATTTTGGGATTTGTTTATTTTTATTTTTTTTTTTAGAAGAGTAGAAGCCATGAGTTCAGTAGGACGCTGTCAGATGAGAGCAGTGATGGGCCCTGCAGTTCCAGCTCGTACAAAGCGCTGTGCCTTCAAGGTGCTTTGCATCATTAGCGGGATGCCTGGCTAGGGAAAGAAGGCAAGCATATCCCTATGGTTATTCATACCATCCTACTTGTAAAAACCCTAATGGCAGGTCTTGGTTTAGAAACCCGAGGCACTAGAGAATTTGTTAGTACTGTTTAAACAACTCTTTTCACTGTACTAGACAAAATCTTGCATTTCTGTTCAGGTAAGCTAATTAAAGTGAAACCATAGGGATGCTCTGACCTTGCAGATGCTTGTGCATCCTTTTTGATCTCTCCTCTCTCTCCTTCGGTGAGCCTACCTATAAGTGAAGAGCAGGCAGAAGTTGTTACAGAATCAGGTCTATACAAAGTTAGTAGAAAAAATTAAAGGATGCCTTAAAGTACAGGAGAACCGATGGAGATGTATAATTATGATTACTTCCACTTCCTACTGCTCCACGTACCTTTTTTTCTTGCACAGCACATTGCACATTAGGTTTTCTAATGCACTGATGGTTGTTTTATAAAAGCATGCTCCTTGTTACCCCTGAACGTGGTGATATCCTTAGTGACATCATGGTCTTGGGTGATATTTTGGGGGAGGACAAAATTCTTTTTGTGGGGAAATCAGCCCCCTTTTAAGGGGGTGTTTACAGTGTCAGAAATTGTTGGTATTGGCATCTAGAGGGGTTGAATATGTTCTCATCCTAGAAATGCGTGTATCTATTTACAATATTTTTTCTGTTGCATTTGCCAAAAAAAAAGAAAAAAAGTGAGCTAAAACATTTGAAAGGAACAGCTTGAGGAATTTTTTCCATCGAGATACAATCAAGGGCAGGAAATCGTAGAAGCAGAGTTGTGGTTTTGCCTCCTGTTTTTTTTTTTTATTGGTTAATTAAACTATAACAACTCTTAACTTCATTTTAGGTTAACTGTTCCTAGAGTTCAGGAATATTTTAAGAGGTCAATAATGCTTTCCTTGGCGTTCAGTCCTTCTGTGTGGGATGGGGGACCTGGGGCAGCGGCGCGCTTTTCCAGCTGTCCCGCAGAAAGCCGTGTGCGTGCGCTCGTGGCCGCGCTTGGCGGTGGTGGGAAGGGATCCCTCCTCCCTCATCTGCGCACCACCCCGCCAGGATGGGAGCCGCAGGAAAGAACCATGAATAGCCTGACATCTGTAAGCTGACTTCCAATATCTGATTAAAGCTCCGGAGCCCGAAGCGCTCCCAGCTACCAGTTGACATGCGTTTTGCGCTTAATGATGGGGAGGTGCCGAGCAAGAGGGGGGGAGCGCATGGGGAGGAGGGGGATCGGGAGAGAAAAATGAAGGCGATAGGTGCGGATCCAGTTTCATGAGAAGCGAGAAAAACAAAGCCTCCATTGTACAGTGCTGCACGGGTTTTCTGTGTGAAGTCGTGATGTTTCTTTTTTAAAGTGCCATAAGGCATCTGTCTGCGCCTTCCCCTCGCTGCCTCGAGCTGCTCGGAGGCATGCACTTAAAGGGCAAATGAGGGAAGCAAATAGAGCCATGCAAGTGTCATATAACTGTCTTTAATAACGGGAGCTATTCCAGCACTCGGAGCCAAATCGTCTTTCAGCAGAAAGGATAAAATTTAGCAGAGCTGGGAAAGGGAAAGAATAAAGGGGAGGGGAAACACAGCACCACCTCCTGCTGACACCACAGAAGTTTCCCTAAGCTTTCCCTCTCTCTCCCTCTGTGTATATATTTTCTTTTTAATCAGCTGGGGCTCTTCCCTCCCTTGCCTTTTTTTTTTTTTTTTTTTACTGTATTTTTACAGTTGGAATTCTGCTTTCCCAATTTCTCTTGTTTCCCATTTAACTTCTTCAGAGAATTTCATTAATAGTTATTGCAATTAAAAATAATAAATAAACTCAGCACCAGCTGCTCAAACGGCTCTTGTAGCATATCTGGAACATAATGTGGTCTGCGCAGGGCAGCCACACAATGCAATTTATCCCCACACCTGAGGGAATGAATTTCACAACTATAATTGCTACAATATAATTCTTATTAATGTTGTGCTATAATTCCTATTAATTCCAAAGGGCTAGTAAATGCATTAGGACTTGTCAACATATTATTTTACACTGTTTATGATCTGTAGAATTACGCTCCTCAGTATTGTATTGCATAAAGAAAAGCCTTAAAATTAGCTTTAATTGCAGGGGGGAGGAAAAACACATTTTCTGTTTGGGCCCTGGGAAAGAAGGAGGGATCCTGTTGTTTGCGGGGTAATGAAACTGCAGTTTAAAATCAATCCTTTGAACTTCCTGCGCCACACAGTTAAATGTTTATGAAAATAACAGGAATAATGCCTGTCTCGGTTATCAGAAAAAGAGCCACCAGTGCCTTCAGGGAAGAATAAATGGCTATAAGGAGGAGAGGTTTATGAAATTAAAACTGTCTTCCAGCAAAGACAAAAGTGGGGAAATTACAAGTCATTGTAACTGATGTGATAAATACAGAATGCGTTATCTTGCCGTGCTCCTTTATCCTTATCTCACCACCCTGCTTTTCTAGGTAGTGAATATGATGAGGAGGAAGTAGACTATGAAGAATCAGACAGTGATGAGTCCTGGACTACAGAAAGTGCTATCAGCTCTGAAGCTATCCTTAGTTCAATGTGCATGAATGGAGGGGATGAGAAACCTTTTGCCTGTCCTGTTCCTGGATGTAAAAAAAGATATAAGGTAAGCAGTAGTGCAAACCTATCTTACTTCCAGCTGCTGCAGAGAGGCGAGGGGGAAAAAAAAAGGAAAGCCTGTAAAATCACTTTATACCCTTCTTGTTTAATAGACTTGTCATATTTATTTTTGTGGTATTTTAGCAGAGTATGTGTTTTATTCACCGCTTGCCTCTGAAGCGCAGCCAAGTTATAAGGTTTTTAAATGTGGCCTTTGCATCCTGGTCTGTCAAATGGGATTACGTATGGTGACTTTCCTAGGACTTACGCTTTCCACGTTTTAATTAGTTTTCTATAATTCAGACAAATTAAGTGCAGAACCCAGGAGGCAATACCAGCAAAATGATCTCATGGGTCCCTTTCAGAGGCACTAAGTAAAAAGCTTCTGCCCGTCAGTGCCGGGATGAAATCCTTCTGCGTAAGTAAGCTGAGAGGGATGCTGCCTCTCCTGCAGAAACACCGTGCCCGGCGTACTCCTTCTGGTACAGGCGATGTGCGGGAAGGTGGTGGTTAATGTTTCACGAGTCAGAGGTCACCTCGAGAAGGCAGAGCCTTGGAGAAGTTCTGGCATCGTTCTGAGCTGGGTCAGTGTCCCAGTGACTCATGTGTGCAGCAGTCGCTGTGTCTGGCCCTGAGCGCTGGGCTTGCATCCCTCTGCGTGACATGCTGGGAAACTTTTTTTTTTTCCCTTTCTGATTATACTCTGTCATGAGAAAATTTTCTCTGTTTATGGGAGTGAAACGTCTTTAACTCTGAACCTTGAGCTGGCTGGTAAAGAACACGCTGTGACGGTGCGAGGACAGGAATATTGCTTCACGTGAACGGGTGCAGGGGCAGATTAGGTTTTATTGACCACTTTGGACTTCAGTATTGTATAGACACTGAAATTTGGGATCAGAAATAGTGTACTGGCTGCAATTCCTTTAAATAACTTCGTGCATGAAGTCCTAGAAAATTCAACCACGGACCTACACCCTAGAAAAACCGGTAGTGGTGGGCTTTGTTTTTATACTTGTTCTATTTTATGGCTTTGCCTTTAAATAACTGAAAAGCAGGGACTTAAAAGAGAACAGAAATATGAAAGAGAAATATAGGAAGACCAATAACGTTTGAGATAAAACAGTTGTGACAAGAACGAATAAACTGTGCGTGAAAACGTGTAGTGGATGAAAATGTGTTGCAGCGATCCTGCAGCTGTTCTGGGCTGCGCCGTCGCTGTTAGCAGCAGGTCACAAGACTGGGGCTCGTGCACGGTGCTGGGGGATCAGCTAATGCTTGCTTAAAATCCTGGTAACGTGAGCAGGAAAGCAGCGTGCTCCCTTCCTAGCGACGGACAAGCCTGGTTTTGCGGAGCTGCGTCAGACCTGTGCAATGATTATTCTCCATCTCAGGGGGCAGGGCAGAGGGAAAGATGTTTTGAGCCTATTTTCCAAGTATTACTTTGCAGATATAACTGCATTAAGCGAGATTAATACTTTTCCTGTGTGTGGCAGAAGCTGTGTCGGACGGAGGGTATGGCATAAATGCTAAACCCCTAGCTCAGGAAGCAAACAAGCCATGGTGATTGTTAGAAGTCAGTATGCCCACAGGGCATCTATGCGTTGCAGAAAGCATTCATTTAATGGCACAGGCTAGAAGGAGAACCCTGTAATTTGCTATATCCTGTCTGTTCTCTGTTTGACTGCCAGCCCTCTGTCTTTTTATTGCCCAAATAAGCAAGCTGTTCCTGCCTGCTTCTGCTATCTCGCTACCTTCATCTCAAATGCATGAGGACTGTCTAAGGGATATCTCGTACACCATTAATGTTCGAGCAGTCGGACAGGGAACAAATTAATGACCCAGAGAGAGGCTGGCAGACAGAGAGCAGCAGCAAATAAAAAGTGCCGTATTTTCCTCAGAGACTCACCTCTGTTCAATCCAGATAGGAAAATACATTTCCTTTAGCTCTGCCTCACCTCATCTCTCTTTTCTGTGGGCTCTGCTTCCTTCCTTTTTTTCTTTTCAGCCTTTTTTTTTTTTCTGCTTTTTACATTTTTATCTTTGTTTCCTTCCTTTTAGTTTCGTGTCAGCTGTGTTTCTTGTTTCCTCTTCGTCTTCCTCCTACTTAACCCCCTCCTCAGATGAATTATTTGCTGAGTCTGGGTAGGGAGTCCTGTGATCAAAGCGCTGGGATTTTCTGGTGGGTACTGGATAATCACAGCCAGGGCTGTAAAACAATTATAGAGCCACAAACAGGAACACGGACATGCACATACAGTAATTGCCAGGCTCCCTTCACGGCTGAGAAAGGATGCATTCTTTTAGGCAGCGAGGAGGAAAGGAGAATGTACACAGTTTTCTTTTGTCTGGCCCTAGGTGACGTACGTTTGAGAAGCAGAGATGTTATTTTTAGGTGTGTTATTTGTACTGCAGGACTGCCCAAAGGACCCAGTAGGGTTTGGGGCTCCTTTTTGCAAACAATGTACAAGGATAAAAGATGGCCTCTGCACTGAAAAGTCATTATGGAAAGGTAAATACGACAAGAATGAGTACAACAAATACTCCCAAGGAGTGGGCTGGGGCGGACAATGGAAACTGTAATAAGAACATGTTTATACACAAGCCCAGATGAGTATCAGAAGACCCTACTGGCCTTCTGCCCAGCTGCTATCTGCTGGCAGTTTCCCATAGGCACTGCAGCAGAAGGCAGTTATAAACATTTAATTGTTCTTCAGGAACTTTTATTTTTTTTAAGAAAATAAAATTGTTTGCTTATAAAATGCATTGGTACTAAGCCCTCTGTACAGTATGGCACAGATTTTTCTTGAAGGGCCAAAGATTCTGGAAAAAAAAAGAAAAAGAAAACAACTTTAGTGGCTTGTAAACTTGTTTGTTGGGATATTCTGAAACAGCTAAAGGGATCTGGAGCACGCTGACTTCTAGGTGCCTAACACCCTCTGAAAGTAGTTTCTGGAGCTTGCTTTCTTTGTCATTTTACAGTTGCTGAGAGAGGAAATGTTGAGTATCTAAGAGTTTGTCATTTGCTGTTTCACTACGATTTATCTGCTTTGCATTTGAAGCCATTAATTTGATTTTAGAAAATCATCCAAGTGATTGAAAGGAACCTTAACATCTTGTTTCTTCAGAGTTCACCCTGGCCAAACCTAGGCTTCACATTGACATTTAGGTGACCTCTCCAGTAGGCGGTGGGTGATGAGTTCTTAACGTGCTTTGGAGGATGCCACCTGTGGGAGCTGAAGTGTGGATTTGTGGATTGGCTTTCCTTTTAGTACACCCCACCTGTTTGTATCAGTTACTTGGGTGCCAACTCAGGAGAAGGACATTCAAAATGCGTGTGTGATGTAGATAAACTGATTCAGGCAACTTCCAATAAAAGTTCAACGCACAATAAAGACAAAAATGCCATAACTTATGTGTATGTACTACTACAGACAAAACCCTGGAGTATTTGCCATAGTTTCTGCGGACTGTGCAAATACAATAACACGAGAATAGCTGTACATACACCCAAAACGTAGTTATATGCATATGTATCAGTGCAATCATGAAACAGGAAGACGTCAGCAGCTGATCTCATCGAAGCAAGCCTCAGTTCTCATCTCTCACCTACAGGCACTCTAGAAAAGCATATTAGCCTAAGCTTCTCTTGGCCTTTGTAACATTTTTAGCTACCCAGAAGGTACAAGCTTGGTTTCTCTGTGCAGTCTGTGGATTATTCCTGAACTTACGTGCTCTTCCTACATGAAAACCTAACAGTTTATCAGTGTAGGTGCGTTACCCAGGACTGAAATTCACTGGGGTGGTAGAGGTGCTTTCCTGAGCGCACCCGGTTTATGATGGTGTTTGAAAGGGTATATAAACCATGGCTCATCTCTGTCCGTACATTGCCTTTGCAAGGGTGTTTTTTTAATTACTGTTGGCGTGTTGGTCGTTACGGTTGTTCCAGATTGTCTCACTTAGATATATTTGGCGTGTTCCCTTACTCATGGTAGTGCTCAGTAGGGCACAAGTTGCGTGAGAAGCCAGAGCAGCACAGTTACGGGGCGAGGAGGAGGAGAGAGGGGACACGAGGATGTTCCCATTTCCCTGCCCTCCCTCCGAGGACACTGAGAAGCAGGTAGGCCGGGCTGCTAGGCTGGGTGGGATTTTTGTGAAGGAACAGCCCGGTGATGAGTCTGGAAAAAGAAATCCACCTGCGGTGGCTTCGTGGGTCCGTCCAGTGTCCTCGTGTCCCTGCAGACCGGGCAGTGCCAGGCTGAACTCCCCCGCCTCCTCCTGATCTGGTCCCGGGTTAATAATTGTTTCCTCCTGGTGAAGGTTTGTGAGTGCCCTTCCATGCTGCCATCTTCTTCCTCAATCACTTGTGAGAGTAAATAACGAGCAACCCAAGTAACCGGAGCAATAAAAGTGATGTATGGGTTTGGCAGCGTTTTTTGCCATACCTCAACAAACTCAACCCAGACATACAACAAAGTGTTTACATTGCAGCAGTGGAAAAAGTGCTGAAGAGTTGACTGTAATTCTAACAACAGCTTTCTTTTAGACACAAGTGCAGATCGGATTTCATCTTACACTGGCTCCTCATACCCTGCGTGTTTTGCTATTTCTCAAACCTTCCACGGCCCAATTAATTCCACACAGGTTGCTGTTTTAGCATTTCCTTAAATTTTTCTGCCTGAAATTACTTTCCCCTTTCATCAAAGCATGTGGTGCGTCCTGTACTTGAGGCTGAGTGGATCGTTAAAAAAAATCTGGAAGAGGAGAAGAGCACAGTTGGCACGGAGCAGTGAGGGCGTTCGTGATCTGGGGAGTCCGTAACAATTGGTACTGGTCATTTAAAAGTACCTCGAAATGACTGCTTATAAAGAGTGAAAGTCTGAGCAGGCTTCTGCAGTTTTCAAGATAAGTAGAGGGTTTGGGGTTTACTTTGTTTTTAAAGTCTCACTGCAGCAGCAACATTTAGCAGGGTGCCCTGTGATCAGCACCATCGGGGCACTGGGCGGTGGCTGCTGCAGCCGCGCTCCTCCCGGCTTCGTGATGGGGGCCACAAGTTCCTCTCAGCCCTTTCTTGCTCAGCATTGTGTGGGCAGCATGTGGAGGGGACTGCCAGGAGCATCACCGAGCACTTGGGATTTTGATGCAGAGTAAATTGGGTTAGGAGGGAGGGGAGAAGAAGGAAAGTGTTGGCAGGAGAGCGGTACCAAAGGTGGTTACCTCGTGCCTCTCTGATGTTAGATTTGTGATACGTGTAGAGTCTGGTGAAGTTCGAGGAGTTTCAGCTCGGTTCTGTTTACAGAAGGCTTTTAACTCTTTTTTTCTCTTTCTTCTTCTCTTTCTTCTTCCTCGTCCAACTGCTGCGAGTTCCAAGCTGGAGCTTCCCCCGTAAGCTGCCTGCTAACACAGCTGAGCTTGCTGCTCCAGAGCCACGGGGACATTTTGTCATGTGTAACAACAGCCCGGGGCTCAGCAAAGACAAAATTCCTTAAGCTCTTACTTGGTGGGCTATATTAATTTTGGCTTTTTTTTAGTTAAAAAAATAATAATCTGAGGCAGACGTCTAGAAACTTTAGACAGGATATGGTAGAGCCTATGGTAGAACCTTTGCTACAAGTCATCTTGGCTTCTTTTTTGGTTTTCTTGCTAGGAGAAGCTCTAATGAAACACAGTTTGCGTCCCCCTCTCCTCTCCCTTTTTTTCCCCCAAAAAATCCAAGCTCTCATTGGTGGAAGCTCATGTATACTATGAGAAAGGGACTCTGTTAGGATGAACCCTAGAGAAAGCGGTATCGCGTGCTGGTTAGACCACAACAGCTCCTTCCATTTTTGCCAGAAAGATGCGAGGAGAGCAGTGGTAGGTTTTAGCTGCAGGATCCTCCAGTTTTAGCTGTAGGATCTTCCCAAACAATAGCTGTTTTGAAGATTGCTTCTCTGGATTATTTTCTGAGTGCCCTGCGCAACTCCGAGCTAGCTGCTCCCTGCAGTTAATTCTTCGGAGACAATGTGTAAACTATCAGAAGTTGCTGGTGCCTAAAGACATATCTACAAACAATGACACAGAGCGGAACAAAAACACCATGGGGGGAGCTCCAGCTTTTTGAAGAAGTGTGACTCGAGTCTTGATGCCAAACCTTTGTTTGCTTGTAAATGAACCTCGGGATAACATTTTTCAATGCTATATGAAAAAAAAAAAATTAAAAATGGCAGGAAGCAAAGAACATTTATGTATGATCCCACTAAGCAAGCAATATTTCTGGAAAGTGCCATGCGCTGGGAGATAACAATCAGAACTACCCAGGTGTGATACATTAGGACTGCACAGATCACCCTCCTTCCTGTCCCACCCTGTCTTGGAGCACAACACATGCACAACACCTGGAGGGTTCCTAGCAATTTGAGTAATTCTGCCCCTACCATTAGCCGGGTTGTGTTTTTCAGCAGACACCTGAGGCGTTTCGAGGCCAATCGACCACTAACGCTCTGCTTTCTCGCTCGCAGAATGTGAATGGCATAAAGTACCACGCCAAGAACGGCCACAGAACACAAATCCGCGTACGCAAACCATTCAAATGTCGCTGTGGAAAGAGTTACAAGACAGCTCAGGGCCTGCGGCACCACACAATCAATTTCCATCCCCCCGTGTCTGCTGAGATTATCAGGAAGATGCAGCAATAACATGCTGGTCACAAATGTGCCAAGAAATCCTCACCAGCAGTTGCTGATTTTGAGAACAGCCACCTTTTTCAGGGGAAGCATTCAGCAACCCTTTAAACAATTAAATGCATGCTTTAAAATTTTCTGTAATTTTGGAATGATGTATCTTTGTAGAGTTAATGATTTTGTACATTTGCACATGTAATCATCATACCCATTTTCATTACTTTGAGATAAGGTGCTATAAAAGCTATAGGTTCTTCAGAACTTTTTTTCTCCAAAAACAAGAAAATTAGGGGGCGTTGCGTATTTAGTTGTACTGAAGTGTTGAATAGGAGTAAGGGGAGGAGAGCTTGGCACTGATGTAATTTCGAGATTGTAATGTGATGAAGACTTCCGATGCATCTGTCAGTGTGTGTGCAAAACCAAAACAATACCACCATTGTCAAACTATAGTTAACATGCCTTACATTATGGAGTTATCAGTGGAGTAGCAAGTCTTTTAGGTAATGGAAATATAAATAAGAAAGAATGTTTAACATAATATGCTAAAAATATTTTCATACTTAAATAACATACATAAAAATGTGTGCTTGCTGTATTTTATATTATCTTGCAAATCTTTTTTTTTTTTTTTTCCCCTCTTGAAATGCTGAAAATCTTGCCATTTGAACTAGTAAACAATCACGTTAGTGTTAGGAATTACTTTTTTTTTTTTTTTTTTTTTTTTTTTGTACAAGATGTTATATTATGTTCATGCCCATCAAACTTTTGAGGACCAATATCCCAGTCCAACTAAATATTTACCCCTGAAATATCTGTTAGAAAGACATTTGGAAATACTTAAGTGCAAATTTATGTGTGTGTGAGAAAGAATTATCTTCATCTCAGATGAAGTCTTAAAGCACTTTGTAGTTCTCTATTGCCAACAGATTTAATGTTTTATGTGTTGCCAATTCTTGCAACTACTGTACTAGCATGTGCCTGTGGTTGCAAATAAAAATTAAAAATTCTGCGCATGGTTTAAGGAGGTCCATTATTTGTGCTCAGGGAGCTGCCGATGCCGCTCCCTCCTGTTCATTGTATTTTGAGGTTTTCTTTGTACAGTTTTTTGCTTCTCGTTGTAGGTCACTGCATTCCATTTGGAAGTGTCTGTTTAGCTTTACAGTTAATTTTGCTGAAATATGACATATGAGCCTTATCGAAGATTTAAGTGCTTCTTGCAGCAGGTGGTCAGAGAGTGACTTAGAGCTAAAGTCAGCATGAGAGAGCTTCGTGTCTGGGCCATACCTGAACATTTGTTGCTTACCATCCTGCCTTGAGCATTCTTCTCTCACAAGTGCTATTCTTGGAATTGAGCTGGCCAGTTGCATCGAGGGGGCACCCCCCACCCTGCCCCAACCTTGAAACACTGCTTACGTGGCAAGGGTCAGGGAGGAATGCAAAACGTTCAGTACAGTAATCGCCTTTGCTTATTTCCCATCCTTTTAAGTGCAAAAGAAAGCTCAAAACGTGAGGAATAAGCCTTTCCCTTTATTTTTTTTTCCAAAGCTTTAAAGGAAAATGTTTTAAGGATGACAATTGCCTATTTTTTCAGCTGAGTAAAAAAAAATCTCTCTAAAAAACTGGGAATCATCCTAAACGCTAAGGTTCGAACATCTGTATTTAAACAAAACACCACTTTTTCAAATCCTAAAGAGATGACAGTGGTTGTATTGCACAGTGCTGTCAGCTGGGTTTTGAGGATGATCCAGACATGAGAATTATTGGTACACAAAAGGCCCCATGGGGCCATTTCCTACCTTCTGCAGTTTTGGCAACAGACGTGGCCAACAACTATGTTTTGGCTCTGCTCCTAGTGCAAGAAACTACAGGCTGGGTAAGTAAATTCAACAGCTAAACAGTCGTAAAATGTCATTGTTGCATGTAAATTCCTTTCAACTATAAAAACAAAATTCCAGTTTCTATTTACCTATTCATTGTGACAGTATTATTAAACAGGTAAAGATGGGACTATTTTGTTATACTGTGTATAGTGAATGTATTGTACTGTGTCTGTGAAAAAGTGTGCTTTAAATTATATTTTCATATGTTTTGTTGGGGACAAAGTACTTTAAGTTTGAAAGTGACAGAGGTTTGTTTTAGAACTGAAGGCAACTTAACGAATTCCTGTCAAGAAAGCTGCTTATAAATGTAAATCAAATCACATTTAAAATAAACTGCCTCTGACCTAAAATGACTGCTCTCTACTTGTCACTAACATGGAGTGAAGCTCTTGGGCTGTCTTATTTGTGTATTTTTACTTTGGGCTCATCAAACTCTGTTCTGTAACACCTGCAGCAGCTCGAGAGCTGCATCCTTCACACAGCCAAACACACAGGGTGCTGCAGCCGGGAGGAGAAAATGGAGCATTTGGATGTAAGCAGCCAAAAGGACACTCAGGTTGCAGAGGATGTTTCCTTCCAGCGTCACACCAGGGCTCAGCCTGCCAGGTAAGAGGTGGTGGTGATGCTCCTGAACCCTCCCCTTCTAATGGAAGGGTATGAGAACCTTTCTTGTGAAGATTTTTCACAAATGAAGCCTCTAGCCCTAAGAAAAGAGGAATCGTTAAAATCTAAATTGCTATTTTAAGTGGCTGTGTGAGGGTGGCTATTTAATAGGGAAACTTCAGCAATTCCCTGTGTATGCACCTCAAAGAAGTCTGCTTTGGCACAACCAGGGTGTGAGGTTGTCTTCCTGTGTAGGATACCAACATCTGAGACTTCAGACACCTTTACTAATATGACCGTAACTTGAATAATGTTTATTTTTTATAGTGAGTTCTGTTTTCATACACTACTGAGTTATTAAAAAAAATGGTAAAATATTGTTTCAGTACTTCCATGCCTTACCTTGAACTGTCTACTGACAGGAGTTTGGGAGTTTAAAAAAATGTAAAAACCTAACCTGGAATGCAGAGGACTGCTGTTGTAGCTGCTGCTCAGTGCCCTGCAGTCTATCTGTGTCATGCAGCTTTTAATAAACCCTGCACTGAACAGGATATTGCCTATGTTCACAAGTAAGAGCTGCACACAACAGAAGTTACTCAAACACTAAATCCCCAAGTCTCCCTAAAACAAGGCACATAAATAGATGTGAGCAGCAGTTACTTTGTCATACAAAACTGAACCATCATTTACTGCAATTATGTAAAGCCTAAACTCCAGCTTATTTTATGTCAAAATAAGTAGTGGGGAAAAAAAGACCACTGACTCCATGAATAATTCTGCTTTTAATGTAACAAGACTACTGTACAACAAGTGGAAAGCAATTTACTTAATACAGTTAGGTAAATATAAAATGTTTAGATATACACACATGTTTTTACTTACTGGAAAGAAATACATAAAGTTAAAATGCAGAAGGTTTTAAAAGCCCTAAGCAAAAATGAACACAATTCACTGTTGTGAAAATATAACAATATTTTCTACTGAATGCAATTGCAACATAATGGCAATGACTTTTTAAACAATTAATTTCTAGGCATTTAAGCACAACGGTTTCTTTCAACTCAAAAATTCTGCCTTAAAGTATAACGTACTTCACTGAACATTATTCCTTAAGGCAAGCACTGCATATGTAAAACTGAAGGATCTGCCATTACCTTTGTTGCAGGCATGTAATCTCACAGTACGTGCATCTACATTTCAGAAATGTGCTAGAAAACTATAGTTTCATTGGGTAAATTATGTAAATTATGCAACTCCCTGGTTTAACTGTTACTGATGAAAAGAGACTACACAACTTTGCTAGGAGAAACACCTGTTTATTACGTTTTTAATCACACCTCAGTTCTCACGGTCAAGATAAACCATAGGAGCTTTGGTGTTGTTTTACACAGCTGAAGAGCATCACGAAGCTGGTCTCCTTTGTTCTGAGGCTGAGTCGTTCCTGTGTCCTTACAAATTCCAAATTCTACTGGATAGGGGAATAAATAGCTACATACACAACAAGGTCTTTTTTTTGTTTTTTTTTTTTTAGTATAATGTTAGGTAGAGGGAGAAGGTAACTCAAATAGCAGCTTACAGCCAGGATTTATCATGGCTCCCGTTAGAGTACACTAGCTTTTAATCAGAAATCTGCACTGTTAAAGAAAAGCTGTACTGTTGTTTTGTGGTTTGTTTTTCCATAGGTGGACTACTCAAAGTTGTTTCTTTTTAAGCTACACTGCAAACAAAAGATTTAATCAAAATTTAAAACGTTCTGATCAAAGTGCGTCTGGACGTGCCTCTCAAAGCCCTGCTGGTCGTAGTCAGGCGGGAACTGCTCGCTGCACATGGGGCACACCTTCCAGTGACTTTCCACGTGCTCCTCAAACTTGCTCTGATCATAGTTAGGGGGAAACATCACATCACAAAGGGGGCATTTCTTGTGCACATCAAAGCTTCACGAAGAGGTGGAGAGAAAGGAAAAAAAAAAAAAAGGAAAGTTATTTAATCTGTTATTGCCAAATAAAATACAGAGGTAGGCTCCTGCTGCTGCTCTACTACTAATTTAAATTTGAGCAGAATTGGTATCTGTGTACGTATCACACAGTTAATTAAAATGTCTTAGCCGTAAGCCTTCAATACGGTTAATGTAGTTTTTTATACAGGGATTCCAAAGTAACTTGGCGCTTAAAAAGTTACATCATTTTGACATAATTCCAACCTCCACTGAATACAAATCTATTGAATGTCTTAATGGCCAAGCGGTTTCATGGGAAACCACTCTCTCTGCTCATAAATGCTTGCTCTTAGCAAACATAACACTTTATAAAAGCTCTAAACTTAGGTTCACAATTAGGTTGGAAAGAGGGAGAAAGAAAACAAAAGTTACTCATTCATTCACCAAACGACATTTGACATTCAGTCAAAATAAGGTACAACAAATAGTCTGCCCTGTGTAACAGCAAATTCTGATGGTTAATTGTAAACCAAACATCAATTGAAAATGCTTAAAAGTATTTCTCCTTCCTTTTCCAACCCCTCTCCCCCAACTTGAGTAAAGGACTCCAGCGATATAGAAGCCGATCCATCCCATTAAAGAGCAATAAAAGATAAACATTTACCTGGAATCAAAGCAAAAACCTGTTCCACGCTCATGCAAAAGAAGGCTGGGAGGATTGGGAGCAGAAGGTACAGTGTTGTCATCGTCCTGTTAAAAAAACAGCAGTATTTTAAATAAGAGGCAGCTACTTTCCCCCCTCTCAATACATCTTTTTGCTATCAAGCAAAACATGGCTGAAACTTAACCTTAGGATGAGTTTTACTTCGGTGTACAAAAGGGAGATGTGGTTAATGAACATGAAAAGCCAAACAGACTGCCTTTTGACCACGTCCATGTAACAGAAACCTGTGCCAGGACTACTAGAAAGCTTCTACTGATAGAGTAACTACGGAAATGCAGGTCACCTCACTGTTACTGCCTGGGGGCTCAACCAGAACAGAAAAACCTGTGTTAAACCACGTACAGGGCACCGCACTCCATACTGTAATAGCCTGCTACCGAGAGCCAAAATTCAAAAATGAATTCTACACAATAGAACATCAAGTCAGGTGCTTAAAATCTGTCAATCTTAAATTACAGTAACAGTAAAAGATAGATAGATAGATAGATAGATAGATAGATAGATAGATAGATAGATAGATAGATAGATGCTGGTGCACGTGTTTGCCTCCCCACAGTCAGGTTTGAGCGATCTGCCTGGGCTGCCATCGCCAGCCAAGCATGCCCCGCACTGCACACTGCAGTCAGGCACGTCAGCTAAATTGCCCTGTTGGGCTGCTTCCCCCATCAGCCCTGTCAGTTGTGCTCCCGGCACCACCACCACCAGCACGTGAGGAGCTGCAGCTGCAGCGCATGCTGATGAGGATGGTGGGGCTGACGCCTCTCAGGTTTGCCTCCATCAAGCACGGGAGGAAGGCAGCTCAGCCTCCGGAGAATGCGAGCGCTGCTCCTCGCTGCTCACGAGAGAAGAAATCTGATCGTAACAGGAATGGGGAACTCCTAAGCAGAAAAATGAAGAATACCAACAGGGACTGATTCTGAAAACTTCCTTTCCGACGTGCTCAGGGCCACGATTTTTTGTTGGTCTTTGTTTTATATATATATATATATATATATATATATATATATATATATAAAATACATATATTTATGTATAATGTATAATATATATATATTTCATATAATGTGATATATAATATATTATATATAATATATATATAATATATATATAATATATATAATATATTATATATAGTAGATATATTTATTTAGAAGATAGGTATAATTTTTAATATAATTATTATAATTTATATTATGTGAATATTATTATATGTATTTAATATGATATTTAGTATATATATTTATATGTGATATTTTTAGGAATCAAGATTTACACAAGCACAGCGATTTAAGCAAATACATTTAGGGGCGGAAACCAGCAACAGGAAAATAAATTGAAGGTAGGGGAAGAAAATGAGAACTGTGTTTTTAAGTCAATTCTTTATGCAGCATGAACACAGCACCATGGTTCTGTTCTACGATAACGCAGCACAAACCCATTAATCTCAAGGTGGGAAAACAGGTACATGCAGCAAGATTTTTGAAACTCCAACTCCTAAATAATTTTCCTTCTCATTTCAAAGACACAGTACATGCCAGAATTATGAATTATTTAGCTGGTCTGCAAAAGCAGATGCAAGGGAGCATATATAACACGCGGTATGTTTCATACAGGTAGCTAACAAGTATAGTCAAACTGTATTTCACTTTAAGGCTAACGTACTTTGTCCTTATGAAGAGTTAATGGAAATAGGGCAGGATGGGAAGATTCCCTCAATATTTTTCTTCTCCTGACAACAGCTGTTTAGCTTCAACCATTTAACATTTCCATTAAGCAGCTAGTGGGGCTTGCTGTGACAGATGCTAGCAACAGACATATTTTCCTGTCTAACTTGCTTGCTTTGCACCTGCAGTAAAAAGGGCATATGGGTTTTAAAATACTATTTGTTCCTTTTGTCACGGAAGAGGTAGGATGTATGTATTAAAGAAGAAAAACTATTTAAAGTACTCTCATACTACAATGCTACAGCTTATGTGGTGCCAGAAACATGACAAATTTGTTGAATACCAGACTTGTAAGTTCACCAGGACTTACCTGAGAAAATGAATCTGCATCTTTCTTGGGGAAAGAATAGTTGCACTACAAATACAGGCTCAATTAACACTTTAGAAAATACTTGCTTATAATCCTTTACTGTTTGTCACTCAGTTGTTTCTTGACCACGAGGTATGTTTTGTCAGCACTTACTTATTAACACTTGGCTAAAAATGGCAAGGTGGACAAGGTGCTCCTCTGGTGAAAGAGCTCCTTCAACACCTTCAGGCCCTGCAGTAACCTTTGCGTAGGACAGATGAGCAGACCCAATGACAAGTGCACAGGCTATTTGTTTTATGAAGGGTCATTAACTGTTCAGCTATTTGAGCAAGTAGTCAGGATTTACCAATACCAAATACCAACTAGGTGTGAGGGCATTAACCGTAACTATGTGACTGATGTGATGGGTCTCCTCTCCCATTCAAAATTACCAATGGATACAACAACAAAAAACCAACTTTTGGAACAGGTCTTTACATGGACCTGAAAGAAACTGCTCACCTGGATGCCCAACTGTACCAGCATTCAGGACTGAGCATTCCTCAAGTAATTCATTTTCCACATGAAGGTTACACTACCACAAAAATCATAGTCTTCCCTATTGCGAAAGAGAATATCTATGTCTTTAGGCGTGCATTACTCAAATACAAAAACAGTGAGTGGCAGTGCCTTGCAGGCACTGGCTTCAACAAAGGTTTGAATTATGAACAGTTTCAAAAAGGCTTTTCTCATGTCAGAATAACATTGTTCTGTGCCTCCCAAGGATATAACTTCTCATGAACCAGTTCAATTAATGATAAAAATCATACTGTGACCTCCTTCCTGTACCTTCTGACCTGTGCACCATGCAGGAATGGCCATATTAAACAGCGTGGTATCTTGAGATATGGAGAGTCTGTCTCCTCACCGTACTTTTGCTCTTGGCCAAGTAAATATGTATGGGAAGATCAGTTCTTAACCTTTTCTTAAGCTTAACCCAAAAAAGAAGAAAGCAAATCTATACAGAGCATCCCTCGCAGTATATACCACAGGGATCACCGTATAATTAAGGAACAGTACATTAAAAGCAGACAATAACTGGTAACATAATGGTAACTGTCTTCTGTTTGGACACCAAATACATCACTAGCAAAGAGTTCCTTATCTAGAAGTTAATATGGGGCTCTAATACAGGACTTCATCACTGCCTGGCAGTATTTCACAGCTATTCTGATCACACTTATGCTTAAGGAATACACAATGAACAATAACTAAGAATTCTCAGACATTCCCCTAGAGGTAACTTGGAGAAAAAACAGGAAAATGCGCCATTTCATTGGATTCATCCAGCAGTCTAAGTATTTCTAGCATTTCAGATAGACAAAACTCCCAAAGTGCACCCCATAAAAGTCAGGCCTATATGAAGGGAGGACAGCTCTTACAGGTCCACAGTCACTGAGGGCCTGGTTTCTTCCAGTTAGTAAAACCAGTGATGCATTCCTCATTCCTATAAAGGATGTCAGGTTGGAAAGCACTGTGTAACATTTTAAAACCAGCCACTCTCCCGTAGTAAAACCAAGCACCCCCTGAAAACCACAAAGCCAAAGCAGGAAGGCCAGCTGAAGCTGCTTTACAGAAAGAGTTTGGCAATAACTGCATTATCACACAGCACTTACACAATTACACACAATAAAGTGTGATTTAAAAAAAAAAAAGTTTGTTTGCCATCAAAAAATGAAGGGAAAGTAGACATTAACAGTCACATACAACCACAACTCGCCTAATTTTACCAAAACTAACCAACTCTGTCTCAGGTAATACCTACTGCTTTACTGATTACAATCAAAAGCTCACATAATCAGTTCCAAGTCTGCAAGACGGAAATTAGCAACAGGGCCGTGTGACCCAGAACAAAACCCTGAGACCTGACCCATCCCCATCTCCAGGTTGCAGAGAGCGTTCGCACACGACCGTCAGCAAGGTGACACCATCTCAAGCTCTAAACCATCAAAAAGCAGCCACAACAGCTCCGTACAGCACAGGTAACCAGAGAGAAGGGGGCATACATGTGCTTTTGGTGACTCAGCTCCGTAGGAGCACTACTCAAACACTTTACAGTCTCTCTATACCTCTCTGCAAGCAGCCAAGAGCTACGTGGGTATCTTGATGCCAGCTACTCCTTTTATGTCTATCCTATAGAAAAGGACAGTAACTGGCATCTCCAGTAAGAAAGATCAGGCTGATGAAAGTAGTTAAGTGGTTGTGTGTTTTTTTAATGTTATTTGGCTAAAAGAAAGACCATTGTGGATTCATCTCAAGAAATATCCTCACCTGGCCGTCAGTTGCCAAATGTTACACTCCACACTTTTCCTGTGACTCACAACATTCTTTAAGAGTCTCGGGACAGTTATTCTGGGCTTACTGCCAACCGTAATCAGGTCTATATTTCTAAAACTCACTTTATTATTAAAAATATATTTTTGTTTATGGATCCTCTCCCATGCATACCTGCTTCTAGAAGTGACTTGCTCCAAACGATTACATTTGGTTCAGTTACGAGAGCATGAGCAAATGGAAAGCCAGTGCTGAGCAGATGATGGCAGGAACTTGTGGCAAGTCAAATATTCTACACAAAATCAACATCCACATGCATGCTTATCTGCCATGATTAACACAGGGCAGCTTATCCCTCTCAGAAATCACTGTTTAACTGGCCCTAGGTAGTAGTACAGTTGCAGAGGAGCGATTCTACCTCATCTCCTGTCAGAAAACACGGCATGGAGAAGCATTCAGAATTTCTCCTCTGCCATCCAGATTAATAAAGCTTATAAAGTGACTCAACTGCATGGAAATGAGAGCAGCAACTACAGCAGGTAAGTCTGACTTGCTAGGCTGCCTCCGTTTGCTGAACTATTCCTTAGGTTAGAGGGATACCTGAAAGAAAACGAAGTGCCATTCCTGTTCTTCCCCATTCTGGAGAAGCAAGTGGAAAAGGTTTCTTAAACACGCATGCATGCACTTCCACCCCCTTGCCTTACAGACTGAAAAAAGGTCAATTTTGGTCAAATCTGCGTATTACAGTTGTGTGTATACAGCTTCTACTTCAAATCCCATACGTATCATAGTCTCAGGGCCCAGAAGATACCTCCTCTTAGACAAGATAAATATTGTAGGCATTTTCATCACCATACATGAGATACCACCAAAACATCCATGCTGTGGTGGAAGCGACAGTACCACCAAGCTCTTAACCTAGCATAAGATGCAGTAATAGCAATGCAGAGGGGAAGACAACCAGTCCATACAAGGGTAACACAGCAGCAAGACTACCAGAGTTTTTCTTCTGGGAAGGAACCTTCTGCCAGCGAAGAGCTCTGTATGTTTTTGGTTTTAAAATGCACATAATTACATTTCATACAGCTTATTTTGAAAACCAGTAAAACAAACAGTAATCTTCATATGTGTACATTTGTATCTGCTGATTTGAGTCAGCCATGTGCCCTTGGGGCCAAGAAGGCAATGGCATCCTGGGGAGCATTAGGAAAAGTGCTGCCAGCAGGTTGAGGGTGGTGATCCTCCGCTTCTGCTCAGCCCTGGTGAGGCCTCACCTGGAGAGAGCTGGGCCTGCTGAGCCTGGGAAAGACCAAGAGGGGATCTTACCCATGTGTACAAATATCTGAGGGGAAGATGTCAAGAGGATGGGGCCAGGATCTTTTCAGCGGTGCCCAGGACAAGAGGCAACAGGCACAAACTGCAGCAAAGGAAGTTCCAGCTTAATATGAGGGGGCACTTCTTTACTGTGAGGGTGACAGCGCACTGGTTGCCCAGAGAGGTTGTAGAGTCTTTATCTCTGGAGATACTCCAAAATTGACAGGATGCCATCCTGCACTACATGCTCTAGGTGATCCTGCTCGGCAGGGGGTTGGACTATGTGTTCTCCAGAGGTCCCTTCCTACCTCAGCCATTTTGTGATTCTTCATGAGGCAGAGCCTGTCATTTCTGCAGAACTTACCTACACATATGGAAATTCTCCCTCGTTACTTAAGTTTTGCATTAGAACTATTTTATCTTTAGCATATTACTAGATCTCTCTAGAAAGATTTTTGCAACTGCTCATTTCCATGTACACTCTACACATATAGCCTATTTTTGGGGTGAGAAAGTAACAGGATTCTCATGTGAAAGTAAAAAAATATATATATAAATTACTTGATTTAAAGGCACCTTTTCACAAGTTGAACTTTATTTAAGCCTGTTATATTCCATCTCATTACAAAAATCTAAGCTGTGTCAGCAAATGAGCACAAGACTCTAGCACTGTTTCTCTTGGGTTTGCAAGAGGGCAAAGCACATAGATCAGAAAGAACACCCTGCTAATTAAACTGAAGCAGATGACTAAAGAAGAGAAGAGCTTGTCATATGTAGTATCTACGTCAAGAATGATCAGTTTAAATATGCAAAATGTGAAGTAAAGGTGGGCAACAGCGTTAAGCTCACATTCTAGATCTTAAACAGGCTGGAGAAGTACTGACAGTTTTTCTAATTATTCACAGTAATGGACATTGGGGGCAAAAGGTAGGAGGGAGAAATACATTTTTCTCCATTATAGGTGCTGAGCACCAGGGCTAAAATCATGCCTGTCTGAACACTGATCAGCTTCTGCAAAGGTTAATAGCAATTAAATGTGGCAAACTAGACTAAATGAGAAACAGGTCATGATACCACTGTACTTGCAAAGAGCACAATACTTTGCAGAAAAGTATTTCTTGTTTAATATTTTTGAAGGTGCAAGGGTTCTTGGAATAAAAAAAGAATAATAAGCCTGTTCCTGTTCAAATGAAGACATATGGTCCAGTTCATTACAGAAGCCAATTTACTAAAAGTGTATCTTATAGTGGAATATGAAAGTTAACTGTATTAGAAAGAAAGCTAACCAGTTTCCACTTAAAACATAAAAAAAAGGAATCAGTGAGAATCTGTCACTTTCAGTTTCACCAGTTTTAGGTAACAGTCAATTAACGGCTCTTCCAAATAGATGCTTAACAGGAAAAAAATAAAATAAAATAAAACAATGAATTTAACAAATACAGATTCATAAAAGACAGAAAGAGAGATTAATATATAGAGATAAAATATCTAATACTACAGGAATTTTCTTTCAGTGTTTAACTGAAAATACCGGTACCAGAATCCTTTAAGTTTTCATTTGTTCTGATACAACCCACTTTCCACATACAAATTATGAAGTGATTTAAAAAAATAAAAATTCCATATTTAAAAAATAGGATCACGCTTCTTAGATACTGAAAACCTGTGGGAAACTCTTGAATACTCAGTAGTAAATATATCATCAAGGAAAAATGAAGATAATATAAAAGGTTAACTTACATTGCTGTCCTCAGGATCTTCTAAACCATCAGGCCGACTGAGATTGCGTGAAGGCTGACTACACACTACGTCATCTTCCAGTTCCCAAAAGGAAGTTCTAACAGGTGGTCTTTGGATCTCATCAGGATTAAAGGCGCCATCTGCTCCATCTGAAGAAAAATTAATTAGCTCATCTTTGTTCAGTAGTATTTTGAGATTAAAGATGTGCTACGTTACATTTAAATCAGGGCTTTCGAACATTTTTGGCTTTGATAGGATAAAAGAAGAGGAATCTTTTTTCTAAAGGTGTCTCTAAAATTTTGTTTCCCTTATTGATTCTCATCAATAAAATAAAGGTCCTTAATGGTATTCAGTAGCCAATAAAGAAACTGTACATCAGTGTACAGATGGTTGGTACTTAAGCTGCACGGAATGAAACATTGTTTTTGAAACAGTAAGAGAGAAATTATATTTGGGGGGAAAAAAGTTACTTACCTCGTCTTTCCTGAATTGCATAAGGGTTTCCATATTGCAATACTGGTAGCCTGCTTGTCACTGCAGGAACTGGTCCATTTTCCTCTGAGTATGGGTTGCGAAAATGCAATGTTGGCTGTGAAATCTGTCCTTCCATCATCCTTCCAGCTTGATTTCCTGGTGTCCTGCCAAGTTCCTAAATAATACAAAGTTTAAAATGTAATTACTCTATGGAGTCACAGCAAAAGTTTTAAATTTTTATGAAATATTTAGATGTGTTTTTAAAAACACATCTGCTAATCTTCACACCCTCCTTTCTTCTTGGTCTAGAGTCAGATATGCCACTAGAACAAAGAAAAGAAAACACAGGATATTTTGAAAAATTCTTCTGTTTTGTTGTCACTTAGTTCAGATTGCATCAACTCAACTGCCACGTTTTTCAAGAAGTATCTGCATCTTACGAAATGAAGAAAAATCAGTGAAACAAGTAAAGAATGGAGGTGTTCAAGGAAAGGTTGGACATGGTGCTTAGGGACATGGTTTAGTGGGTGACATTGGTGGATGGACCAGATGATCTTGGAGGTCTTTTCCAACCTTAAAGATTTTTTGACATACATACATATATATACACACATATATACATGAATGTATGTTCAACACCAGCCCTATTAGACTGATAACTCATTCTCTACCATTGATAAAATTCAGACAAATTTTTCAGACAATTGATTCGCGGAAGTAAAACCTATTACTCAAGTTTGGTTATTCTTGTTTATGTTAACAAATAGAAATTATTGCCAGTTTTCAGAAAGATAATCCAGATCAGGTTAGTTATTTAAAGTATAATATTTATATTTTTAAGCATCATACAGAACAAAACTGCATGTATATTACTACACAATTTCAAATGAGCAGCATCTCAATGGGAAGTTATATATTTTCATGCATAGATTTCAAAGTTATTGCACTTCCTCTGAAAAATAATTTGCACTTACTTTAAAGGTTTGATGAGCAAAGTTCTAACTCATCCATATTTATCCCTCCCTACATTTATTTTGTAAAGTTAAAATGAAAATCATTTTCCTCAACTATTTTAATATGTGTGAACTTGCGGTTTAACAAAAGTAAACGTGTATCTTACTTCCAAAATTCAATGTTTTCATCCAAAATATTAAATTGCTGAATTTATTCAGGGGCTCCAAGAACCTGCTTTATTTAATTATTTGTATCAGAAAGGCAATTAAATTTTCCAGAAAAGCTCAAGCAGAACTCTTCAAGATATTCATATATGTAAAATCATGAATTGTTACATATAAGCCATATAGACAGTAATTATTACGAGCTACTAAAGGATTTAAATAACTTACATACCATCAAAACTCTAAGCCAATATATACATTAAAAGACAGAAATTAAAATGACTTAATTGAGCAGTGACTGAGCCAGTGCCTCAGCTATAATTCATCCAAAGAAAAGTCTTTTTCTTTTCCTTCCATTTAATAAAACGAGTTCTGCAAAGAGCTCGTGTCACAAACTCCAAAGGAAAAATGTCATTTACATTTCAGAGCCAGACAAAAATTTCTGAGATATAAGAATAAAAATAATAATAAATGTTTTTAAGACAGAGGTTTCCTGATCATTTTTTTTTCCTTTCTGGTTAGCATTTTCTTTTAGGTTCTCATTTAACATGTGCTAATGTAATGTTAACAAAAACCTCTAACCCAGAAGTGTGTCTTTTCCCCAGAAGGCTTTCAATTTAAACTTAAAACCAAGACCTAAAACACTTATTTAACTACACGAGAAGTAAAACGTCTCAGCTATTAAAAGGAACAACCCAAAACGTTTTTCTTAACAACAAACAGGTAAGCATCAGCCCAAACTCTAGAGCCCAAAAATGCAACATCAGCTTTCAGTCTCTGAAACAGTAAATACTCAAATGAAAAAAGATGGAAACTACACATTTACATCAGGCACTGGCACAGGTTGCCCAGAGAAGCTGTGGATGCCCCATCCCTGGAGGTGTTCAAGGCCAGGCCAGATGGGGCTTTGAGCAACCTGGTCTGGTGGGAGGTGTCCCTGCCCATAGCAGCTGGTTGGAACCAGATGATTTTTAAGGTCCCTTCCAACCCAAACCACTCCACAATTCTACATACTATCACGTTTCAGACATTGAGGGCTTGGACTCCCAACAGTAACAACGAAGTATTTTTAAAATAGGATAGAAGTGCTTTCCACAAACAGAAAGGCAGCTTACAGAAAATTATCTTTTTTTTTTTTTTGAGTGCTGGCTGTAAACACAATACTTCAATTACTTTTTATGTTCTTTTAGAAAACATTCTAATAGAGGACAGCGGATTTTCTGCACAACATCCTTCAAGTAAAATATCCTCCTGTTGATATGATATAAAACTAAGCTAATGTTACTTTAGATTTATAGACTAAATTCCATATATGATTGAAATGGTTAGGGTTAAATGGTTAGGATTACGTCTTAAAATTTTAGTGAGTATGTAAAATCTAAATAATTAATCTTTACTCAATACAAAGCAGGAACAATTAATTATCAGTGAAATTAAGACTTTCCTTTTTAAAATCAATTTCTCCTGCAATATGGAAGCAGTTTAGAATGAGAAGCAATGGCATTAATACTTTAATTTTAGCATCACGTAAGATTAAAACAGAGTGTAGATCAAAGTGATTGTAAAAAGGTGCTGTAAAATAGTCTTAGCCAGAAGTTGGACAGCTAGGGTAGAGACCGATTAAAAATCAAAGGCTGTAAGTATGTAAATAAAATAGAAACCAAGTAATTTTATAGGCTTGAAGAGACAGCAAATGAACATTTTTAGCATGCTATGTTTGGTGACATTTATAAACAAACACTGATAATGGAGCATAAATTGAAAAGCTGTTTACTATACTGTGCTTAACCTTTTAAATCATGGTTCCAGTCTAGCAAGGCACTTTGATTCTTCTTTGTAATGTAAATATCTATAAATTTGGTAGACAAAGTTCCAAGGTTTTATAAGTTCCATACATTATTATTACAGTTGCTCTCCTTCTTATGTGTGGTGTTTAGAATTACTGCCTCCAGCTAAACTAGATTAATTAAAACTTAACTTTTATTGTGCTTTCTTTTGAATTAGAAAAATATGAAAGCTGTATTAAAATTACATCATTGTTTAAACAAAGAGAATTTAAATACCAACTACTTGAGATTCTAGAATTCTACAAAACGGTATCTTAATCTGAAATTAGTTCCATTTCAATTTACCAGTGTGCAAATTCCTGTGTTTAACAGATATCTGTTCATACTGGAATTTTTTTTCACAGGATGTGTTTAAGTAGTCTGAACAATCATAACTTTTCCACAATATCATGCAATACTGTTTGAATGTGAATTGATTTTATTGCTTCGCTTTTCACAAAAACACCGTTTTGATTAATTGCCATATAATACCTAAGAGGTACTTCCAGCAGTAGCACATTAGCATTAATATTTCAGAATGCACTTGTCTGATTTTTACAGTAATGATAACGAATTTGATTAGACAGAGAGCTCTTGAAAGCAGCATCCCATTTTCTATCATATAGTTAAAAAGCAAAGTACTGCTTGTTTATCTTTCTTCTCTGATAAAGGTATTTTTTTCAGCTGTAGTTTACTTAAGTCACTGCTGCCACATATGTCAAGCTGCTCTTATTATTACAAGTGGTCAACAAAGAGAACCGCAGATGTCAAACGGACTTGGTTGTATGCACACATCATCAAAAACCTAGAGATTTTACTGCTGAAACATGTGCATCTCTAGTTATAGGCCACGACTGGATAAAAGCAAAAACAACCCTAACCAGTGATGGAAAAAATAAACTGTCAGGCTAGGTATGTAGTATTGACATCTTACACCAAGATTTCAAAGGGAATAGGGTTTACTAATCATGCTGCCTGTCAGCCAGTGACTCCTGAAAATATCAGAGAGTGTCTCTCGCAAAGAAATTAAATTCTTCCAACTTTATGCTCTGTTAAGAGGAGAGAACAGCTGCAGCATGAAGCCAAGAATTATCTTTTCTTTTTGTTTGGCCAGGAAGCACATGCACGCATCAGACATCAGCCTCTAGCCACAAAAGAAGTGAACCTCTTTCAGTAAGGGATACCAAGGTGTAGAACAGGAAGGAGGCTCAAAGTTCACTGAAAACCTGCTGAAAAGCAGGGATGCTACTTAGGTGAGAAAGGAAAAAAGTGACAGAAATCCAAACATTTGGTAAAATGTGGAGCTGACTGCAATCTGAAATTACTAACTTACAGCACAATCTGCAAACAGAAAATTATTTTAGATCCCAGATAGAGTATTATTCTAGACAGAATGGAAGAAAACTTGTGGCACTGTAATGTTTTTGTTAGAGTTTATGTAGAAAATGCTCTAGAACACTATTACAGAACAGTAACAACTATTTTCAAAGGTTGAGTCAGTTTTGGGAAATTGGTATTCTGTGGTTTACTTTTTTCTTTTTAGTGTTACCATCTGAACTTGCAGTTTAAAATGCTAATTCGTTTTGGCAAAATATTCAAATATGGAGAAGTACCTTTGAACTGTAAACAAATTATCACTTAAAAGTAAACTGCAATTCCTCAAATCAAAGAGCCCCACAGCTGCCAGTTTACAATATTTAACAGCAGTCCTGACAATACCTTCTCACTGGTAAAGAGTTCCAGCTGTGATGCCAGTTCCTTTATTCGTCTCTCTTTTTCCGCCAGCTGAACCTATATGAAAATCAGATTCAGTTTACAGTTCTTATATTACTGAATAGATACTACTTCCCTGCATATTATATCATGAAAACAGCGCATTCAATTACTACAGTTCACCTTTCAGATGGAAAAAAAACTTGTCTACTATATTCACATGAAACACCTAGTACTACTATAAATAATCAATCATTCTCCATAAGTTTATCTATGGGGTAACAGCAAGACACTGGCAACCTTCTCTTGTCAGTTTTCAGAAAACAGACATGGAATGATGAAACCCCAAGTTAAAAAAAACAAGAGGAACACCAGTGTTACTAAAGGCAAAGAGGGACGCTACTCTCCAGAAACAGCTGCAGGTTTGCAAGCTTCATCACACTATTTCTAAGGAATTTGCCAGCAAGTACTTCAGTGATTTCTTCCATTCACTTCTCTCCATCTCATGTCCCACAACAGAACTGAGAGAACCAAACCACCCTCCCAACTCAAAGACACTACAGTTGTTTCACAAACATCCACCACGTGGCCCTGTTGGGTGATCAGGGAGAAGACAGATGCAACTGACGTATTACAGAAAGTTTTTTCCTCTTTGTTTCCAGATTATTACTTAACTAACCTTTCTCTTCAAAGTGCTGTTTTATTTGGATCCTGGTTTACTTTGAAAGCCACCTTTCCACTTATTTATCTGGTTTATATATGCAATACTTTGTATAGTTAAATATCTTTTTGTTTTTGTGTTTTTGTTTGTTTGAGTTTTTTTGGTTGGTTGGTTGTCCTTTTTTTAATTCTGAAATTTTCTCCCTTAGTAGAGTTCATACTGACTGGGACAAAAAGCTCATTTTTTCCTCCCCTCCTTGCACCCTCCTGAATAAGAAGTAGTTTTGAATTGCAGCCAAAATACTTTCAGTTCTGGAACCAATTATTTATTACTCCTGCTGTTGAGAAGTTAAAAAAGAAACTGTTTTTTCATTAAATTATGTGTGGCAACTGATCACCGTTAATTAATGAAGTTAAATAAATTTGGAAGAGTCATGCATTTTATAAAAGTGAAATTAGAGCTTTAAAAGAAGTATTGAAAATCACACAGTGACTACACAGCCTACATAGTGCTGAAATGCTACATAGAGTATTTCAGTATTTTATAAAGAAAAAGTGTGGTAATTTCTAACGAGGTAGGGCTCCTACTAGAACTAATATAATCACAATTCTGTTTAAATCCTGTTCATTGCAATGGGTAAAGACGGGCAATATAGAGCATTTCTACCCTACTGCACTAACAATCACCATTAGATTGAGCACAAGCATAAAAGCTGGTCTTGGGGAAATCCATTGCATTTATCTTTCCCTTGTTTACCCAACAAGCCACCACAACATATGTTCCAGTATCACAGCCTCAACGATTAAGGTTCTGTGTAAGAAAACTATCCATTACGCTTTACTTTCTGGTGCATGCATGTTACGTCACCATACCAAGATTATAGTTGATCTCCTCTAAATTAAATCTCTCAAAAACATTTTAAAAACAAAAAAACAACGCATCATTTCTAGTGACTCTCTCGTTAATTCAGGTGAAATGCATTAGGTGTTAGTATACTGGTAACGTTGCATGCAGTAGGAAGATTTTAGATAAATATGCCAATCAATATTCCTGCTAGTATTATTGTAAGCAACAGAAATTAGAACTCTAGCCCTTTTTTCCTGTAACACAAGATTAAAGTCATTTAAAGGTTTCTTTAAATCCACAATATGAGAAGACTGATAGCCATTTAGTAAGTATATTACTTAGCAAGTCTGTCTTACTTTAAAAGAAGCATTAAAAGAGCATGCTGTTCCTACAAATTTTCTATTCAGGGCAAAAGTATATTTAGGTGTTTTTGTCTCATTAAAACCCTTATTACTCCAACTATCAGAAATAAGCATGTAAGTTAAGAACAGGACACCATTCATTGTCACAAACAAAATCCGTAACTTACTTTATACTGATCCTCCTTTGCTGCCAGCTGTAATTTTATACCCTCATTGATTTTCACTTGTTCTTTCCACTTCAGCTCCAGTTTAGCAAGTTCATCAGCATAAACACTGCATTTCATCTTTTCACCCTATAGTGGTTCATAGCACAGCATTAAGCATTTTTTTTTCCAAACAATGACACTGAATAACTCTATGCTTCCAGAACTATTTACGTCATTATTACTATTTTACTGATTTTTACCATTTACAGAAGTCTTCAACAAATCAAGCCTGACTCAATTACAACGCTTTGAGCATAGAAAACTGTGAACATGATGTTTAATATACTTTTTTTTTCTTGCTTAAGTTTTCAACATGCTGCTATTCCTCTTCAACTTAACTGTTTCAAGTTTCTTTGTACAAACACAATCCTAACACTATACTGTAATCATGCTTACCCTTTCCAGTGTCTCACTTCAATACAAAACATTTCCCCATGATATTTGCACAATCACCCTAAATATCTTTCATCCAGAAGGTCAAAGGCAAGGCTTTACTCAAGCACTACTAAAGAAGAAATAGCCAATGGAAGCCACTGAAGGCTGTCTATAGACAGGGCAGTGAGCAGAATTACATGGTAGTTATTACATCCTGGAGAGCACATTAAAAAAGTAATCTCTTTCTGATAAGTAAGAGAAACAAGATGATAAGCTGAGTTCATGGCAGTTTAGGAATGTGTTATGACCATTTGAGAAGAAAACACATTGGTGTAGAGAGAAAAAAAACTGTTTTTAATTCTGAACTTAACTCTAACTGTTCTGACTTCATAATGTTATTTTTTAATCCCCAAAGGAGAAGCAAACTGAAAAGACGAGACAATCCAACACCCAGATGGCAGTTCTTAAACACTTCTACAGCCATCAGTTTTTCATGATCACTACTAATGAAACACTCCATCATTACACATACATCCAAACTAGCTGCATGAAAATCAAACTCATACTGAGATGTATTAACATTTGAGGGGTCTTACTATTATGGCACTACTGGTGCCAACGTTGGTTCAGAGAACAGTGCAAGTGCACTTATGTACCACTGAGCCTCAGCTACTAAGCCCCACCCACCTGGATATCAAAACCATATAAAAACCCAGGACAGTCAGATTTGGAGGGAATTATTGCACTTGAACATCACTTCAGATTAATAACTGCTCTCCTTGTTCCAAACATCAACTGGCTTAGAGCAACATGCTGTATTTGATGTATTAAAGCAATTACATTTAACATATACAGTTAAAAAACATGTTCAAAAGCTTGAGCACAGAAGTAGCAATAGTTTTGTTCGTTTGTTTTTCCTTCATTGGAGTTATCCTGAGCAGTCTCCATCTGGGCTCCCTAACACCACAGGTAATTGAGAGCTGACTCAATAAAAATGTGTTTTCTAATGTCAACATTTCTACCTTAAGCATGGAGTATCACACAAATAAGCAGCAAGGCAACTCAGTTGGGTAGGCTTTGTGGTTTTAAGATTTAGCACCTAGAGCTTTCTGTTCAGCTTTCCGAAGCAGCCATTTACTTACTGCCAACATTTGCTTGCATTTCTTATACTTCTCTGTTTTCTCAGCAATTTCTTTATTCATTTCACGTACTTGCTCCTTTACCATGAATTCCGAAACTACATCAGGTGAAATGGGGCTAACTGTGAACATTGAAGAAAAAAACATGAACGTTTTTTGTTCCATAAATAAAGTATGCATCAAAGAAATGATAGGCTAAATTTGACAATGCATCAAGAACAGAGTGCTCCATGTCATCCATAAATACTTATTCAGAGACAAACACATCAGTAGCCACATGACACTGAAGGATCAGCAGTTATATCAGCAAGGCAGTGTTCTGCACCCCCTCTCATACTGCAGATGAACATAACTTTTTTACATTGATCTGTCCAGTATATATAGTTATCTAGTTATATATATAGTTACCTCTCCCATGAGCTCCCAAGTAAGTAAACACCAGAATACCTTCTTATCAATATTATTCTAGATATTTTATTCTTCTGCAAAATCATTAAATTCCTCAGCAATCTACTTCATCCCATCACATATTATAACTAGACTTACTGGGATTTTATTTGTTTTAGGAAACACTTGTATTTAATTAAGATGGGATGAAAGTGACCAGAAATTACACCCTAGAGTCTCCACATAGAGAAAGAATGTGTGACCTTGTAAGGCAACAACAAAATTAGTCAGCGTTTACTAGCATTTATCAATTTAAATTGAATATTAAACTAGGTTCAGTTATAACCTATTATATGTTTATTTTAGAAGATTAGTTTTGTAAGAACTTAATAGTTCATAAAGATTATAACCTAGTTAATTTTCTAATAAACTACTATTGCCTATAAATCACAAGAACAGTCTGTAGACTTGACCTTGTCATCAAATAATCAGAACTTTACTGTGGATTTGATTTTACAGCAGAATGCTCCAGTGAACGTTCATTGTACGATGACTGCAAAATTTTCACACTACTGTACACAAACTGAGAATTTGGGGTGGAATTTTTTTTTCCTAAATGAACTCTGTTTGTTAGCTTGGCTAAACCCACTCTGTTAACTATCAAGCAAAATTTATTATTTCAGTCCTACTTGCATTAATATTAATAATATTAATTGAACTGTTTTGAAAAGATACAATAAAATAACTTATGAATGCTAGTACTTGGAAAAAAATCAGCTTTTTTGATGCATTCTCACATTTCTAACCAGCTTCCTTTACTTCAAAGTAGACTGAACAACTTCACCTAGTTTATAGTAGAAAAACTATTAGGGACTACTTCACATAGACAACGCTTTCAGGATGATATAAACATACAAAATTTAAGCTGTTGATACCTGGAGATGCAGACAACTTTTTGTCTGTAACGACGGCAGTAGCTGTCTCAATGTTAGATGCATCTGTCAGTTTCTGTTGACTCCCTGCAATTTTCTTGGTGAAAAGAAATTTTGTTTTGGTATTTTATTAAATGAAAACCAAAGCACAAAGTAACATATTTCTTCCACTATCACCTCCTCCAAAATTGGATGAGGAAGAACTGCTCATGAAAACAGGAGAAAATAATAAATATGTAAACATAATTTATTCTACTAACACTGAAACAGTCTCAGACAATGATTTTTATAATCTTATTTCATAAAGATCTTTTTTTTTCCTTCCCTAGAAATAGCAATTTTAAAGGAAATTATTAGAAAATCTTGTTCTCTAGATAATAGGTTATACTTAAATCCATCAACTTAAATCTAACATTTCATTAGAAAACATAGTCAGTATTACTAATGAATAATTATAGGGCACTTCTGGTGCCCTAAGTCAAATTAGTAATATTCAGTGTTTCTATCAGATCTACAATATAGCCAAAGATACGGAACATTTTTAAGGAGAAGCCACAGTCATTATGATATGATACCTCGTTCACCATTGACCTTCTGGATGAGAATCAAACTCTGAAAGTAATTTGTGGATCAAAACTGGGTAGCTTCCCTGTTTGTTCTGGAGATCACAGAAATAATAAAGACTTTGTCCTAAGAAATCATGTTGGTATATCTTGCCATTGACATTTTGCCCACTGAAGTCTCTCTGCTACTCAGTCACAGATTTCCCCAGATTTTTTTAAGAACTCTGCTCTAAAATCAGCTTGAAAGGGTGATCAGAATATAAAACAGATATGGAATCCAATTGTATATATGCTATGCTATAGAAATGTTCTCCCCACTTTTCCTTAGAATCTTCCTCTAAGTTCTCTGTTTCCACTACGCTTGGGCTGTTTTTTTGTTTGTTTGTTTGTTTGTTTGTTTTGTGTTTGTTTTTATTCTTAATTGTTGTTTGTTTGTTTTTTGGAGGTGGCGGTGGGACTGAAATAAAGTAGTAATTATATAGTAGTTATGCATTTTCCCATGCTTCACCTTCAAAATTTTTCCTTGAACAAAGTTGTGCTTATAAGTTCATCCAAACACTTATTTGCCTTCTACACATACCAGTTGCTACAACTCCTGTGCCTGGATTCAACAGCTATCTAGAATATCCATAGAAATAGTTTGGCTACATGGAAGAAAATAGTCAACAAAAGACCAGTTGCTTAGCATATGTTCTAACCCTTTTAAAAGCACCTTTTTTTTTTTTTGCAAAAAGAAATTAAACAGTTGCTGAAAAGCTACAAAATAACTGCAAGTTCTCCATTCTACTTACTGCCTGTTCTGTGAACTTGTTTACTTGTTTTTGAAGTTTCTGACATTCTTTGAATTTTTCCTTGTAATGGTCAGCAGCCATTTGTAGACGAAGCTTCAGATCTTCAACTTCTCTGCGCAGTTCCTGCTCCACTGTATTTGAAGTTTCCTTTTAAAAAAATAAAAACTGTTATCCCTTTTGTTCAAATAGTACTACTCCCTGAAAAGCCTTTTCTTATTATTATTATTAAAGAAAGCAAAGTAGTCTATGTAAGTACAAAAGGCTGTCCTATTTTGTAGTAATTACCCAAAAAAGCGTATTTTACACTCCAGGATTAACTAAACTGACTGACAGATTTTGTGAATACATATAAACTCCAGTAAGGAAAACTAACAATTACCTGTTCATTTTTCAAAGCTGTGATTTTTTTAAGTTCAGCTAAAGCATCAGCAAGCTGCTTTTTCAACTTTTCATTTTCCAGACGTGCACTGTGAAGATCTGCCATTGTCTTATCTCTCACGTTTACTGCGTCGCTCAACTCTTTTGACATTAGGACAGCTTCTTGTTTGCTAGCCTGAATCTGATCCTCAGCTTTCCTCAGCTGTTCTTTTAAAACACTTGCATCCTCCTGTGAAAGACAGAAGGGAAAGAGAATTGATCAAATTTTAATTCAACATTTAAATCAAGATTGTTAAAGGGATGAGAAACATTCACAAGAAAAATCAGCTTGTTCTGGTGGCTCTGGCAAAAATACCAAATCCAGAAGTTTGTGCACTAGTATCATTTTCCCCATTTGCCTTCTTTGCCAACAATGGTATCCATATATCACTAGGATATAAAGGTCTTTGCACAATCACCATTTCAAAACACATTTAGGCATCATCATTTTACCTATATAGGATTTTTGTTGTAGATTCAGCTTTAGTTTAAGCTTATTGCAGAACATCTTATTACCACAGAGCTCCTAACAGGCATAAATGGCCATGCAGCTTCAAAAACAGATTTGATCCCAGAGTAAGACACTGCAGGTTACAGCAGAATAGGAAGCCTTACAATGCCTACAAGTGGTTTACGTCAAACAACATAGAATAGAGTGTTGGAATGTTTTTCTAAACTCCATGTCCAAAGATCTTGCATAATAAGCGTTTCAGAAGGAAAAGAGAAGAATTAACAGAGAATTAGCTGCAGCATGCAGCACTATAAGGCTCTTGGCATTGCTGCAGCTCGATAAAGCAGACCAAGGGCCCACTGACCAAACTGTGACACTGGTCTCTCAACACTCAGAAAAGTCCAGAATTATAAAATAATAATAATAATAATAATAATAACAATAACAACATAAAAAATAAAAGCTGTTATAAGCCAGTTGCAGCCACTGGGCTTCCTGAAAATACTACAAGCTCATCTTCTTGAGTCTAGACATAAATTCAAGCATCTCTAGTCCACTATTTGTTCATTTCTAATAATCACATAGGAGGTTGCACAGCAAGTCCAGTGGAATAGTAATACATCCTGTAATCACTGACGAAGATGGATGAACTAGTAGGTGCCCTAAAGAACTATACCTTAACTATTTTTTTACAGCAAATCCTACATCAGTTACATGTTTCAGTAAACGTATTGTTTCCAGTAAACAATTTCAGTGTAAGGCAAAAATGTTAATGATCCCACCAGAAAAGTTATAAATTCTTCTCAAGATAACCAGATGACATGTTTGTTTGTTCCAGTACACACGCTACGTTTTTAATTCTCAAGTAAAATAGTGTAGTAGTTTAACATATTCTGAAACAAAACTGTAGAGCAGTCACAAGACAAAAAGAATGTAAGCAGTAATTTAAGCAAAACAGTGGGTTCTTTTTGTGCTCTTGCTACTTCCACTCTTATTAGCACTTGTATTTTACATTTCTAACTTTAACACAATGTCTCTTCTTTCAAAAACTAGATTGCTTTTTCAGTAAGACAACTGACAAGACATACGAGATGGAAATAGTCAGGCCTGGATGACCTGACTTTTCCATGCTGGCTCCTAAAACTGTGTCTAAATTAACTCCGGTTTGGATCAAGAGCACATTTCTGAAGCAAAACCCCCAGTCATTCCACCATTACCTATCATGCTAGATCACATCACAGAACAGTCTCAAGGCACAGACACTGGGTTCCTTTCAGATGAAATGAAACAGGAAGATAGATGCACATCAAGGACAAACCTAATGCACTCCAACCACAGCACCACACTAAAACTGATCTGAAGTACCCTTCCCAGACCACAGACAGCATGGATACCAGTTCTTCAGCACATTCACTATCGTGTTGCACCACACTACTTGCTAACCATAGTCCTATCACACTGAATAGCAAAAGTCACCTCCTCTTTCGATGTCCTACCAACACTCATACTGCTGACTTGTCAGTTGGTTTAGTCCATTTATGTGGCATCTTAGCCCTCCTCAGGTTTTATACCATTATATCTTGACAGCACCTGAGTCCCTCAGTACATCTTCTGAATTTTCCTTTTTTTTTTTTCCACTATCATCCTCTTCATTCTCAACACGGCTGCATTCTCTTCTCTATTCTCTCTATTCTTCATTTTCTTTCCTCATTCATGAAGCTCTAAGCAACTCAGAGGAGTGCACCACTTTTACTGAACTCATAAATTACTTTTTCCACACAGAGTTCACCTCAAGCTGTCTCATGTGAGACACCTCAAGAAACTCAGAGCGAGCAAAACAAAACTGAATTTACTTTCTCCTTTGTTTGTTTTCTGCATCTGCTGAGAACACTACAATCCTCCTGGCTCTCAACCTATACACAGGAAATATCAATTCTTCCTTTCTCTTGTAAGCACATTCTACCTTGGATATATGTATTTTAAAGTAGGCCAATTATAGTAGTAGCAATGCTTACCTTATTTGATGAGGAGAGCAAAAAAGCTTTCTTCATATTTTCTTTTTCAGCTATAAATAGCTGTAATCTGCCAACCTCCTCTTTATAATACGATATCATGTTTTCTTTGTTTGCATCCAAATTCTTAAACGTCTGGATCTCTTTTACTAGTTTGGTGTTTTCTATTTCTGTATTCTTCAAGTGTATCTGTAATGATGCTAAAAAATGTCAAACTCTTCTTCCACATTAAAAAAAAAACTGCTGTTTATCTGTCCATTTAAGTGTTTGCTAAATTCTAGCTCATCTCTGAGACAGATTAGGACAGGAAAAGAAAAAAAAATTAAACATTTGATAATATCACTGCCCTCACAGCAGAAGATTTCTGGTTGGAATCCTTTCAGCTTGATTTCAGCTCTAACAACAGCTCCTCCACTCTACGGGTTGAAGGTAAGCTCCCATTTTCTATACAAAACACACTAAGCTTTTCAAAACTAACTCTTCACAAACGCAGTAAAATGAAACACAAGCAAGAAAATGACTTAAAGCTACAGAGAAATGAATCTTCTGGTAGTATCTACTTGAAGTTGTCTAAGCAAACAGGACTATACCACCAATATCCAGTTACCAAGACAGCAAACTACTTTAACAACCCTAAAGCTGTTTTTAAGATGTCACCAAGTCTATCATATAATGCCTAAAAAATGGTAATTGTTGTATTCAAGTGCTGTTCAAAGACTTCAAGATTTGAGTTGCTTATTTACAGCCAAATTCCATGCTTGCAAAAAACATTTTGAAATTTTAAGATGACTTCTGGTACAAATCTAATGTTGCCTGCCACATACAAGATGTTTTCCTATGAACGTAAATAATCTTTTAAACATATCCAATTTGTTTTACACAACCCAAGGATTTCCTTATTACAATAAGTAAACCAGAAACAGGATTTTTTCTTCAAAAGAAGGAGTAAGAAAACTAACAGCATCATCTCAAGACAAGTTAGGGGGTGACACTGCTAAAGCCTGATCAGTTTCTCTATTTACTTTTCTAAGCAAATGGACACATCAAATTAGGCAGGGCAGTACAGCAAGCTCCTATAAAAATTAAATATACGTGTTTACTGTAAGGATGGTTCCAGCAGTCCACTTAATCTAGAACTTCTGTCTAGTTAAGTTGAAGACTATTTACAAGACTTTTTGTTTGTTTGTTTGTTTTAAATACCGATGTTTCTCAATACCACCAAAATAAATCATTTATGCTAGTGAAAAATCAGTGCAGCACAACTCCTCCTACACTTTCTCAAAGTTACTCAAAGGACTCAGGAATACTGATCTAGAAAACATACTCTTGGGAGAGAGCTTGTAAGAGTAAAAAGTAATTTACTTTTTCATAGGTATGTTAAGATAACCAGTTACTGGATGATGCACTGCATATACCTAAAGAACCTAAGAATTTTAGGTTACTGCGCAGGCATTTCAACAAACTGTTGGTGCATTCTCCTTACAAAACTTTTTTACATGATGGGACAAATTCAAATGCCATTTTCCCCATTCATTCTTATATAACAACTTCTTCAACTCTTAAAAATCTATTCACAGAAATGCCCCTTTTCACTTATTCCTCAATAAATATCATTTATCAAATCTCTCCGTAAAACATTATTACCTTTATTTCAAACCACTTCATTTCAGTGTACACAGGTACAAGGAATAAAGTTACCTTATAAAGTTCTTTTTCATCCTTTTCTGTCTTTAACACACATTCAAGTTGCTCCTTCTCAAGCATCACTTTCTTTAGTTTGTCCTTCATACTAAGAAATAAGCAAATTAACAGTACAGAATTATTAACGCAGAAAGATCATACATATATTTAAAAGTGATAGTTTAAAAAACACACATGGAAAGAAACCGTAAAATAAGGAAAGTAAGGGTCAAAATGACTAAATACCTGTCTAACTCTGTTTCTTTCGCAATGGCTTTTTGAGTAACAGCCATGATGTCTTCTTCAAGCTGGAGAACTTTTGAAGCAGCCTCTTCATGCTTTTTCTTCAAATCATCATTTTCAGTTTTAAGAGTTTCTGATGCCTGAATATTAGCCTTTAAAAACAATTGCAAATATTTCATTTAATAATGCACTTCTCCAGAACTACAAAGTGCTACTTGAATTAATGTTCAAATATATAAATACTGTTAATTTCTAGGTAATATGCATATACATATATATACGTATTTTATATGTGTATATATATATGTATATATATATTTTATTTCAAATAAGGGAATATTTCACAAACATTCCATTATTTACTTCAAGTTTTTTAAGCTTTCTACACAAAACATTATGTGTATTGTTTCTATAAATATTCAATTATACCTATTAATTTACTATCAGAAAAAAGATCAAAATTCACATTTCAAGTAACATTTAGCATTCTCAATCATCTATTAATGCAATAAGCAATGCAGCATCCATATATGAACTTGAACTTTCTGCTTAAACAGTATCACATTTATCAACTAAAATAAATTACAGGATTTAAAACTTTCTAAAAATGTACAATATTTGAAATTACTCAGTGCTTTTAGTTTAGAGTACATATAAAGCTACAACATAAGGCAGATGGTCATTAGATTTCTTCTCTTCTGTAAGCTGTATGACAGGCCCATTTTGAACCTCCTACCTGGTATTTACAAACATTAAATTCACTGTGCTTATTTAATAAAAATAATGAGTCAATAAGGCGTTTGTTTCAGTGCAAGCATTCAGTTTTGCAGAGACTATTGGAAGAGAGGCTGGAAAGCTGCCCATCAGAAAAGGACCTGGGGGTATTGGACTATAACCAAGGTGGCCAAGAAGGCCAACAGCATCCTGGCCGGCATCAGAAATAGCCCAGCCAGCAGGACTAGGGACTCAAGCAAGCCACAGTAAAGACAACTGCAAGCAAGAAGGAGAAAAAATGGAAGCAGTGATACTCCTGATGATGAGCAGTTAAGCTATAAGGCTACATTCTACCAGCTAGCCCATTTGGAAGGCCTCATAAAGCTCACAGAGGACCACGAAACAAATGCAGGATTCAAGTCGTAGAGATTGGAAGCTGAGACAGGGTGATGACAACACCCAGTACAGATTCCCTTGTAACACTGACAGACACAAGATGAGCAGTCACTGCAAGTACAGCATGCATTCATTATTCTAGTTACTGTAATGTCTATCTATACCATCCAAGGCAGTGCACAGTTAAAAGTCGTCTTCACCACAGTAAAACGACCATTTAAAAACAGGCCATCTTAACCCAGAAAAACGTGATTTTTAATATAATGCCATTTTCCTGAGAAAAGAAATCAGAAACACTTAATACATTACCATTTCTGTTATCAAAATTCAATAAAGCTTCCCCGTGGCAGTGATACAAATCAAAGTGTAAACAAGGTCAAGACAGACTGACCAACACAACTGACTACAGCGTGACTTACAATGTTTGTGCAGACACTAAGGTACAAATTGTCTTTTCACCCTGCATTTGGAAGATTAAAGCGCTAGTTCATCTGTTCATCATTTTTAAACAAAACTTAATGCCCTGAAACAACAAAACTGTACTGTTACATCATGAGAAACACATCAAGCAGAGTTCATGGAGAACCCCTACTGGCCAGATTCCACTTAACTAACAATGTTTTAAGTACAATAAAATATAATGAGGACTGTTTTTACTCATTAATTGTCAAAAATACGCTGTTTGCAAGTGTAATTAAGCCCTGCTTTTACAAGCAACTAAACAGAGGTTTGGGTATTATGATTTGGGGGCGGGGGGCAGTGAATTGTGAGGGTGGCAAATGTAACTGATGTCTCAAATACTTCCTGAACCCTAAACAGGCACCTAAAGTAGATTTTAATTTTTGTTACAGATACTATTAAAAAGGAAGAGGACCAATCCATTCCAACTATTTGAACTCTAATTGGCTTTATTATATGCCTTAATAGAATAAAGTATTTAGAGAAGGGATCATGAATGCACTGTTTGTTGAAAACAGTATTAAAGACAAGACCAAGAACTCCTGCAAGGCTTTTATTTTTGAAGAGCTATCAGTTCCCTGCAAACAAAAGTGCACGTACTTTGGTGTAATGAAGGCAGGATATTTTAATTAAAGTCGGTACTCTAAGTAAAACTTGCTATATAACCAGCAGCAACAACACACATTACAACTGCTTGTCCTTCTCTAGTGCAGCGGAGACTAATTACCTGCCCCTGTTTTGAAAGTCTAGTATAGTAAAAAGCCTATTTCAATGCATATCTGTTTTCTCTAAACACCACTTTGGCATAACTGTAACTGCTGTAACCCAAGTGCCTTCAAAAGAATTTAATCTGATACATTATATATACAAACTGTACAAACAGTTCAAACAGGCTGCCAAAGGTAACATATATTAAAAGGAATTAATAGCCTGAAAAAACACACTCCACAAACAGCATTACAATTGATGCTGCTTTGCTAGTTATTCTAAAGGGACATGGTATTAAAATGTAAAAGTTCCATACTTAACAGATTCTCACCTAATAAACTTGTTTAGATACAACTAAAGCCCACAGTTTTGAAAGAAGAAAGGATTAATTTTTAGAGACGACTTGTTATTTTACAGAATTCTTAGCAATTCAATTTAGATGCTGCAGTCCCAGTCCCATACACTCTGGTTACGGTGGTTTCAGAGCCTATAAAATTTAAAATGAGTACTCTCAGACTATTTTACAGGTAAAGGTCGGCTGTGTTTTAGGCGGAGTCTCAAGTGGAAGAATATAATAAACGTATCAACACATACAACCACTGCTACCAAGATGATAATTAAACTGCTGCTTAATTAATTTCTTTTAATTTATCTGAAACATCTACAAATATATCTTTCCTTCCACTGTTTTAACAGAAAGAAAAACAAGCCAAGAGCATGGATCATTTTAATGAATCGGTTTAAAAACACGTGACAGTTTCGAGATTATTTTTACATTGGATCTTATCTTTAATTCAACTTAGAAATGCACCCCCTCCTCCAAAAGAGTTGCAACAGTATTATGGGTGGAGGGGAAAAGCAAACTGCATCACAAGGGGCAGAATAAGAAGCCAGAAGTTACTCAAGTCAGCTTCACTGCTGCAAAACAAAAGCTATCAGAACAAAAACTCCTGTAATTACTCAGAGTCTCACTAATGAAATGCAACAAAAAAAAAATTAAGGTAGCTGTTAAGTGGATCTGTTTTCCCAGAATCAAAATCCTACATTGAAAAGTCTGATGTACCACCCTCAGATAGGGAAGGGAAAGAAAGATGAGACATCAATATATTTATTTTTTATTGCTATTCTAAAGTGGCAAAAGACTTTAAACTGATTATTGTAAAATTAATTTTATTGTAATCACATGACAAACTGTCCCCCTGGTGCAAAAACTGCCATTATAGATAATTTACTTATTACACTTCATTTACTTATTTACACTTCATTACAAAAAGATGCTATAAGAACAGTGATTTTACATCATCTAATGTATCCTGATAAATACATCTAATACCCCCACCCATGTTTTAAAAGCTATTCTATACCAGAAAGTGTCACCTTTGAGTAACAGCTAGTATCTGCAACCTGGATTTCATTTTTTACAGAATTCATCCATTATGAAAGAAGAATGAAAGGCTAAAAGCGACCTATGAAACTCTCAAACTAAAGAGGTCAATTCACCAAATGCAAGATGACTTCAAAATAATAATAATAAAAATAAAGACTGCCATCACTTTTCAAGTTTTAGCCGGATTGATTTATTTGGACGTAACTTACTGTCAGGGGAACCATTACCCTTCATATCCCATAGAGAATTTAGGAGATGGAGATTAATTATCTGCTGGAGCCTTTTGTTTACCCCCCTGACATCGTAGGAGCTCCAACAGAATTGTGTAAAACACTTGGCTGACATCATGCCCCGTTTAAAGGACCTCTGAGGACAAGTGATGAACACAACACAGTACCATTGCAGCCACCGCAAAGCTGTCTGAGTATTCTCATGACACAAGGCCCAAACGTTCTGAAAGGAAACCTCAAATTGTGTTTCCTTCCCCAAGTAAAATTTAATAATGCAGCAAAGTAAAACAGGAAACCAATCCCAAACATACTCCCTGATTTTAAGTTTTTATCTTCGTCGCTATGATTGGCCACAGAAATACCGCACTAAACACCAAAGTCTCTCTAATCCAAAATCTAATACATCACAGCAGCAGTGATATAAAATTAACATTATTGAACAGAATAAAAACTCTCTCTCTCTCCAAAACTAAGGCCTAACTCGGTAAAAGTTCGTCTAAGCAACATCAGTCACGCCATTACCTTCATGAACTGACTACAGACATACAAGTTTTTGCAGGAGGCAGCCAAAGCGTTTACACACACACTGATTCTGCAGCATGCACTTACATTTCAGAATGTTAGATGCTTTAAATATAAATTAATCAGTTTAGGACATATTCATATACAGAACAATCACTGACACCTTAAAACCGGGTTTGCTCTTTACCAAATGTTTACAGCACCCATCGGTCCTATAACTGCTGGTTCCAACCCGAGCATTTCTGAACATTTTCTTTGTATCTTTAAGTCATTATTTTACATGATGGGGCTTTGTTTTGTTTTACAAACGATGCATTTCCCTGACTCTTAGCTTTTTGTACATGCAGCATAAACAAACAAAACCAACAGAACTTGATTTAAAGGGCTACAGAAAAAATACTCAATTTGTTTACTTTTACGAACCGGGCACTTGTACTGCAGACACACTGCACTGCACGACAGCCTTCTGTCACTGTCTAACCAGAGAAACTCCCTAACTCTTTCGTGTATAAAGCTACTATGCAGGAAAAATACCTTAGTAGAATTGGGATTTGGATGGATATCCCATTAAAACTGCCGATCAAATAGATGAATCAGCCCAGTTTTGAGAAGTTAAATGGTGAAATAAACTTTCAAAAGCTGATGAGAGAACAAGTTATCGAGTCAGTAAGTTCACTTATGCTTCACTTTATGTCAGTGTCGTAATGGAAATGCTTTTCAAATACACCCAGGGTCA